GCTGCGGGCGGGCCGCCCCCGCTTGGAAAGGCTCAAATCAGCTTCTCGATACGTGCCATGCTGGTTCCCTCTTGCCCCTGCCAGCGCTGTTCTTGGGTGGGTGCCCTTGTGTTACCTCTTTGTGTTTCCGAGGGGCACTGCTTTACTAGAAGGCTTTCACGTGTAAAGCAGGTTTCGTAAATAGCAAGTATATTAGTATTTTTCCCCTGTTACAATACACTGATTTGCTGCCCTTTTTTTTTTTTTTTTTTTAATGAGATCTTTTGTAACGAGGGAGGCAGCCTAGCTCAGTCTGAGGTCAGCAAGTAAGTTGTGAACAGGAGCTGATTCTACCCGCGGTAGTGGTACAAAGGTTTTGCCACCGAAGTCAGAAGAGCTGCTTCTGGGAATAAACCCCTTCTTTAGGGGATCGTGACCAGAATATGGCCCTAGCATTGAAGCTTTTTGGGGTGCCTTAAACTTCACAATGGGAACCATGATGGGAGAGATGCTGGTAGTTTAATACATGTTTGTTTTTGAGGCTTTCCTAGTGTTTACATGATACAGGTTGAACCCTGTGCTGAGAATCATACGGCCAACCTTTGAACTTTAGTCAGGTTTCAGCTGTGTTTTCCCAGGTGCAGAGATCACCATGAGCTTTGGGGGCATTAGTAGTTGAAGCGTTCACAGTAGTTTCTTCCCTTGTAATTAAGAGGTATAACAACACTATGATTGCTGTAAAAACATGATTTGTTAATTTGCTGCCATGTCATCATAACTTGGTAGTTACGAAAGAGTAATGCCTTGTTACTACTATAGAACTTCTTTCAGCAGGTTTTGTGCTTCTAGAAATGATTGTGTGCTTGGATGGGACTGTTTTTTAACAGTAGTGTTTGCTTTGTGAGGTTGTGTATATTTATTTCTTAATTGTCTGTGATCTTACAGATCTAATTCCTTAAGTTTGATTAAGGGATTAATGACTACCTGAAAGCACTTTAGTGTGTAGAAATGACTGCATGCAAGTTTGGGGGGGAATATACTTGAACTCTTACACTTCTCATTTTATGTACCTGTACTTTGTGTAGTTGCAGACCTGCAAACAAGCAGAAAGAGCTATGATTATAATTTGATATGTAGCTGAACACTTAGGCCTCAACAACAAAAACGTCTAAACCACCATACAGTTATTACATGGTGTATAGGTAGAAAGTGGGCATAAGGTGTCTCCTGGACTGAAAATACAAAAATGGATACACTACTGTGTTCCTCTCATTCTCAAACTTCAGCCTTTGAAACATGGAATGTATATGAAATGTGGGGCTGGGCTTTTTGATATTCAAAGATTTCCTTACCTGGCTTGACCCACTAGTCTGCTGATGGAGGTGCTGTTGTTATGAATGAAGGAACTGCAGAAATGGGCCTGTCATGCAAGAACTCTGAGTACTCTGGCAGATTAAACTTTTTTTTTCAGCACGATTGCCACATTCCATGATGCTTCATGCTGTATCCATTGCTGCTACCTGTGTTTGAGTGTACACTTCTGTGGAACTGTGAACAGGGATGGATTTTAATGTAGAAAGAGCTTTAAGTGGCATGTTAATTACAGCAGAGGATCAATCCCTGTGTGTCTTTAGTAATAGATGTGTAGAATCTATAAAATTAATCTTTTAAATGTTTTTTCTGTGTACTTTCAGGAGAATTATTGAAGTTTTTGATGCAGTTACTGCTATCGCTTCTCTGTAGTCTAAAGCATTCATATCATGCTAGTACCTTTGTAAATAAAAAGCATCCTTTGGTATGTTTGCAGACTTTTTGTTCTTACACTTTTGAAAGTGAGTTTTGTGATGAAAATTCTTAACTGTTATATTAGTGACAATGTAAGAAGGAATGGTGCTGCCAAAATTAAGGGATTAAGGAGGGAAAATCTTCAAGTTACAAGTGTTGTTTCATTTTTCCATACAAAACGTACTGTTTCCACTAGATAAAAGTTAATGCAACCTCTTTTTTTGTGTACCAGTTCTTCCTTATCCCCTCATTTGAGTTTATTGTCTGTCTCAAAGTGTGTTGTTTTGTTTGTGTAATTCTGTTTATCATCAGTATAGCAGTAAGCAATGTTTCTTGTTGGTTGGTGTGTGCTTTCAGAGGACCATGGGAGTTTGCTGCTTGCAGAGGCTCTGCTGGAGGAATGTTTGAAAGAAAATTTTGCCAAACTGAAGGACTCCATTCCACTGTCAGAGAAGAGTGAGCCCAAACTGGGTGAAGCTAAGCAGTATCTGACCAATATCTTAAGCAGAGGGAAACTAAGAGTAAGTGGGCTCTATCATCATAATTCCTGCCAATTCCTGGATACTTCTTTGCTGTCATTATTAGTGTGATACGAGGTGTGGGTGTTGCTTGCTCGTGTCCATGGATATACAGTGCTGTATTGCAGGTGATACTGAGAGACTGGTAATTCCTCTAGGCCGGGTTTTATGCTGTGAGACTTGCTTTTCCATATGCAAAGAAATTATGTGCTACAAGGGCATATCCTCTTTATTTCTTTTTTTTAATTGGAAGGGAGTAGGATAAATACTTAGAATTGCTCTCAAGTGGTGGGGTGTGGGCACATAAGGGTGCTGTCAGGCCAGCACAGTAGAGTGACCTCCTGCTGCTCCAGATCTGAGGGAGTTTTGCACAACTGGTAGCTCCTGATTGGAGAAAAATGTGCTACAAGCTGCTGTCAGGATCTTAGGGTTGTGTTGGGAGGACTGTAGCCTTGCACTGCCTTTGGTGTCTATTAGAGAAGTAATGCCTTTATTTTGTTTTATGATCTGGGTGTGTGGCCAGTAGCTGCTTGTCGACTCAGTTGCAGAGCTTCAGGAGGGTTTTAAAACTCTGCTTTGATGGCTGCTGCTGCTGCATTGGTGTCCTTTGACACACAGTTGCATAACTGTGTTTAGATGTAAGTGAATTACACCAGTCTGCTCTAGACTCCTATTACTTCTGGTCCTGAAATTGCCAGGCTAGGTTAGTTAAGTTGGAAATGCATGTTATATTTTCACCATGTTAATTTCCAATGAGCAAGGTCAGCCTACTTAGAGATAAAATGGAGAGAGTAAGGAAGGGAGGGGGAATCTGTCCAACCCTCTTTATAGTTTAACCCCATTATCAGTCAGAACTACTGGATTCTTCCACTTCCTTGTGTTTAGTTTGGCTGCATGAATTGGCATTACTGGTTTTTAGCTAGTGGTGACTTAGCTAGTGATGCAGTATTGACCCTGTGTTGCTTGCATGTATTGAAAAAATGGATATGAAGGCTTAGGAACCTTTTCATGCTTTCCAGAGGATCTGAACAGATGTGTTTTACTGAGGTTCTGTAATATTTGTTTTAAAGCCTTAAACAAAATGAATCTGAGAAATAGCAGGTGTGCCTTCTGTTTTTTCACTGTTGCGTGAAAATTCTCTGACAACTAAAGAAAATTTGAGACTTTTCTCACTCTTTAATTAAATATACAGAGGAGAGGGGAGCTTACTTGTCTAAAAAGTGATGTTTACTGTCTAGTTCAAACGCAGGAGTTTTTCTTAGTGTGTGTAGGTAATTCTGACAGTGCCAGCCTTTTATGTGCTCTTTGTGGCTGGTGAATCGATAGAAAAGGTCAGCTGAGACCAAAGAGTTGGCTTACAAACTGTATTTCAAATCTGAGCTCCAAAGTGGTTGCCTGACCTTCATTGGCTACTGCTCTTGTGAGGTTGGCCTTTGCACTTGTGAGAGGAAAGCATTCTGCACCTGCCTAATTTGCTGTAGAACTTCATTCTTCCTGTCTGGTGTTTCACCCTGTGAACAGTTTTTCTCTCTCTGCTCCATTTCAGCCGAAGTACATGACAGAAGCTATGCTGATCCTTGGAAAGCTGCATTATGTGGAGGGATGCTACAGAGATGCCATCAGCATGTATGCAAAAGCAGGAATTGATGACCTTTCAACCAAAGAGGAGCCTCTGTACATGCTGCGTTTGATAACTGAAGCCTTTGTTATTAAAGGTAAAGGACCACGTGTGTATATTTGAAATGTGCTGGTTTTAGGTTGTAGCTGTTTCTCCAAGTGGTTTGGTTGGAGCAGGATTAGGGCAAAGATGTGCGCTGTAGAAGATCCTACATGGTATGGTCCGTGTAGTTTCAAACTTGAAGGCATTATGGAGTCTTAGTCCATGGTTTTTAAACTTGGCTGGCTTGTAAAGAAAAGCTTGAAATTGGAAATCTTGTGGTAACTCTTGGCTGGAAGTCAGCGATGTACTTGAGCTTGTGTGTCCATTTTGGGAAAATGTAAATCAAGAATCAAGTTCTTGCCTGGATTGGGGCCTATGCTTTGGGTTAGAAAGAATTCATCTACTTGTACATATCAGTGATTTCTGTGAATTAAACAACAATGATGTCTCCAAGTTTTAAACTTTGGACTAACAGAGTGTGTGCTTTCAAAGCAGGTAGTGTATTTTTGCAATGCATGTCACACAGTATCAGATCTTATGTACAAACAGGAATCTCTCCTCCCCCTTGTAACTCTGTAGACATTGCACTGTTTGAGAGATTCTAATTAAAACTACCTCTGTGGGTAGTGAAATTGCATTTCCTTTTTGAGTGGGGGAAAGACCCTTGTCAGTTTTTGACTTGGGGGGGAGAAAAAGATCAGTAATCTTCTCCTTCATTTGCTTTTGGTTCCTTTATAAATGTTGCTCAAGTACTGCTACCTATCTACTGCTTTCTACTCTTTTCAGCATGTCCACCAGCTAATTAGGTGAATGAGAACTCTGATGATCAGATACCTTCAACTGGTATGTAAAAGAGTGAAACCAAATCAACCCAAAATACTGTTTGACTGGGCTGCTAGTATTACTGATAATAATTTGAGTCATTCTGCTTTTTTTGAAACCCTGTTTGTGCTGCTTTGCTTGCTTTGATTTTTGTTTCCTGTGGTACTGATCGAATCTGCTTCATTAATGAGCTTCTGTGGAGCAGGACTAATTTACTTGTGCCTCACACTGACACTTGCATGGCTCAGAGGTGCTTGCCAGTGCATTCTCAGCAGTGTATTTGTGAGCAACTCCTGGTGCACTCCAGAGTCTGAAGGAGATGCACTGTCCTTATTGGGAACCAGGTATGACCCTTGGTGAGGTGTGAGTGTAATGATGATGTGTGTGTGGAAACTGATGGAATAACCCTGTTGTAAGAGCCCTTGTGCTGTGTTGACTGCTAACTTACATATGGAGATGTTGGAGGCGTTTGCTTCGGTGTCAGGCAATGTTTTGGTTTCTTTCCCGGTGTGGGAAAAGAAATGGAATGTAAATACTGTGTTGCCCTGTAAACCATATGGAGTCTCTGTCATTGCAGAGAAACCTCTGTGCTGTTATGGTTGCACAGTCTTTATACTCCATGATGATTATTTTCATATTAGCTGAGATATCAAGAGTGTAGTAAATCACTCAGTATTCTACCAGAGTTGGTGGCATAAAGCAGTCCAGCAGAGTGGAGCTTGTCCAGCTGAGTTTGGAGCGGGCACTCACTGCTAGGATCACTGTTCCCTCATGCCATGTTCCCTCAGCCACTCTGGTGTTAGCACTTTGTGCAGGTAGCTATGGCAATAGCAGTGTAGATGTAAATTTTCATTTTATAATGTGTGTCCAGGCTCTTTCTGCAGGGCAAGTAACAATATGGAGTTGAATTATTTAAAATGTATTGATACTTTATGCCATAGATTTTTCTTTTTCCCCTTTTTAATTTGGTATCTCTCCAGAAATTATGTTCATTCATACTAGATTACTGCCTTGGGTTGAACTATTGGTTGTTTTTGCAATCTGAAGCCTTCTTTAAAGATGCTCTTGAATGTTGCTCATAGTAAAATTTTTGCAGGGGCCATTTAGGCAAATATCCAGAAAAGCCACAGTCCTGTCTATTTCAAGGCAGAAGTTAGGTTCCTCAGTCAATTTCTTGTTCACATTTTCAGAAAGGGGAGAAAGCTGTTGGTTTAATAGAATACCCCTGTTCATCCAGCATTAGTTAAAAGCAGCAGAACTTTGAATCACCTCATATTGTGAAATTGAAACTTCCTCAGTTTTGTGTAGGTAATACTGCTGAGAAATGCCTGTAATGCAGAATGGCAGCATAGGGTCTCAAGCACTCAGGATGAGGCTGGAAAGGTCATGGAACAAAGAACAGTCAGATAAAAGGCTTATTTTTTAAATGTTGACACCTATCCTTTTAATGTTGGCAATTAACAAAAATGTAACAAGGAACGTGGGATACAGTGGGAGGAGTTGCACAGATAAAACCTGTTGTAGAAATCCAGCAAAAACAAGTTTCCTTCCTTAGAGCACCTGTTAACCTTTGCAACACTGAAGGTGGATGTTGAACTAAATCTCTCCAGGTCCAAAGCATGTAGTGGGTTCATATTATGGTAAGAGGCACTATGGATTTGTACCCTTATGTTTGGATTGAAGAAGTTGAGCAGGGAAAAGAATTCTTGCTTGCCTTCTCACTAAACTTCCACACAAGGTGAGTTTCAAGAAGTAAATTTTGAAGCTCTTTATCAATATGAGGGGTTGTGCAATTGACAAGTCACAGGAGAAATGGGAGAGAGCAAGATTCTCCAGTGTCTCATCTGACTGCTGCTTCCTGTTCTGTTTCTAAATCCCTGCATTGTGAGGAGACAAGTTTTGTAGGTGCTGTGAGTGGAGCTTTGACAATTGTTTGATTTTTCATTATGACTAATTTTAACCTCTCTGGTTAGTTAATAGGTGGGTGGTTTGTATTTGTGTCGTTCCTCCCCATCCTTCATGAAGTCAGTCCTTCCTTAAAAGTTTACTTCTGCTCAGTTCATATTACTGCTGGTAATCTCTGATGCAAGTAACTCTGTTGTTGCATAAAACAGTATTGAGTAAGCAAACTTTGCTTCTAATTCAATTGGGATATACTGTGGCTTTGTTACCTGATGGTGTCCATTTGAAACAGCAAGCAAAAAAGACTTCAGAACAAACTGTAGCTGTTAGAGCCCACTGGTTTCCCTCTGTTTGTGCTTGCTGCAGAAACTCTGCAGATATCTCTCTCTTTGTAAGGAGTAAACCTTCCTGGTGCAAGGTCAGGCTGCTACCTGACCCTTACAGAGCACTGTGTAGCTCTAGCCAGGGCTTCAGCATACCTGAGCTCCAAGAAGGAAGCTTCTGTGATGTGGCAATGTTTGCTGTGCTGCTGAGAGCAGGGTGAGAGCTGCTTTACCTGAGGCCAGCCTGGCTGGTGGAGTCAGGTAGGGCTCCTGTGTTGTGTGGGTCCTGCTTTCTACTGACTGAGGGAGGCTTTATCTTGTGCTCAGGGATGTGTCAGAGCTCTGCAGTCAGCCCTGTGCTGTCAGGCCGGGCACTGGACTTGTTCCACCTGAGTGGGGTAGCCTGGAGAAGGCTGCCTGTCTGTATTTGTGCAGCAATGCCATAGGGTTGCACAGGCTATCTAGCTTCTAAATGGATTTCTAGGGAGTTAAAGCTTTAGAAGTCCCACTGCCTGTTTTTCTCCTTTTCTCCCAGTCCATCCTGTAGTTCTTGTAATTTAGTAATTTTTGTGTTATTCTTGGCCATTTGGCATCTCAGGATGGGTCTGAACTCTCTGTAGAGTCAGAAGTTGGCTGTTCTGGGGTGATTCATCACTTCTTCAAAAGGCATCTGACACAGTTGATGTGAATGGTGGTGTATATAGCGCCTCTTCTCTGGTGATTGGGAGAGAAGACTGCAGACCAAATTAAGATTTATTCCTTGTAATTTTGTTTTTGAGTGTTTTTGTTCTTTAGTTTTTAGGTTTTTTAACTTTAGAAAAGACATCCATTTTATCAAAAGGCTGCAATGTGAGCTTGTCTTTTTAGATCTTTGGAAAGGTGTGGAAGAGAACAAGGTGATAGTGTGCCTGTAAAGAGCCATCGTGTAGTCTGCATTTTATTGTAACAAATCCAACCACAAGCCATATCTAGGAGGAAATGAGACTCTGCTAGTGGTTCAGAGCTATCTGTATTTTATCCTTGGACCCATTTTAGTCATTTAAACATGCTTAAGATCTGTGGTGTGACACATTTGAGAAACCAAAGATAAAATCTTGAAACAAACATTGCTGGATTGAGCCACTGAGCTTTAGAGCTCTGCTAAGATCTGTGAGTGATATTTTTCAAAGTAAAACCTTGAAGCTGCCACGTAGGGGTTTTTCCTAGGTTTGATAATGATAAACAGACTAGAACCTGCTTCCAGCATCCTGAGTTCAGCACATCTTGTTTTGGATTATTTTGTTTTTGTTCGGTCTTAGAACAAATTGCTGAGCTTATGTGTGCTCCTGTTTCTCTTGTGATTGTATCTTTTAAGAATTCAGTGGTTATGAGGTCTGTATGCTTTGAATTATATTGTTCTGCTTTCTGCCCATGTGAAATGATTGTCTTGGGTTTCCAATACTGGAAGTGGTTGTTTGGAGATTCTGGTGGTGTTCTGAAAGGAGAATGGTGATATCACACAGAGATAAACAAAAAACCTGACCTTTTACTCAGCAGGTTTGAAAACTATTTGCTTGGTTTTAATAATGGTTTTAAATTGACCAAGTGAAGCCTCAAAAATTGAATAAACTGTTTTAAACTTCTTAGTCATTCTTCTCTTAATTAGTTTCTCATTTTGTTGGCTTGTACTACTGTTGAAAACAGTAGGTTTGCATACAGCAAATGCAAGCTTGGTATTAAAGTTGTTCATTCTAGCTAATCAGAGGATGTATCACACACTTGTTTATGTGCTTAATTGGAGTCTTTCATTTTGACATTTGCTTGTGTGTCATCCATTTTTCTAGTACAGTTTTCTACATGATGAATAATTTCCTAGGTGAGATTTGTATTCAGTTGCTAATTTTCAGTTTGAAAATGAGAATAAAATGTAGAGTTAAAGACAGCTTTATTGCAAAGCTATGTTCTGGTAAATCTACTTTTCCCTCCTCTCTAAAGAATTTGGTTAAGATTGTCAGTTCACTAAATGAAT